GATGGCTGTAGAGTTTTACGGACTTAATCAAGGGCTAACGCACAAAGGTAAGCTTTGAGTCAGGAGTATATTTACAACGTAAAACATGGGTATTTAACAACAGAGACGTTGACTGGTCAACACGTCATTCGTTTCGTGTAGGAGACTAAAAAGTCGGGAAATAATAGTGTATTTTTCCTTCGATTCGAGTATGCAATTTACAAAATTACATAAATTTTGAAAGATATGAAATCGAAATCATGCTTAAACGCTGTGCTAATTATTATATTGTATAGTCTGCTATCGGGCAGGTCAAGACGAAGTGCAGTCACAAGAGATGCTCGCATCAAACAGAATGGCCGTACACCTCTATTGTATTACCAGGCCAAAATAAAACTGTCCTTGCTCACGGGAATCAGCGGTTAAGGCATAGGTTGTTCTCTGCAGCGCATTCGACAATGAAGTTCAAAGCCGACCTTTTTGTTCTGTGCCATCAAGCCCCAGATTAGTGTTATAAAATTAAAAATCAAAAGTTTTCTCAATAAGACGATCAAGCTTGGCTTGTTTACCATTTCAGGAATATCCAATAGCAGTTTGATCCTGTCATCATTGCTGTCAGCGTCAAATTGAACATATCTACAAAGCAACGCTTAAAGAACATATTCTAGGTGCATTACACAAATTCAATGTGAAAATAGCTAAACAGTTCTATCAATCATTCGAGAGTCAGTTAGAGAGAAAATCTGACATTCAATCTGGTAGTCGATCAGTCACACATTCAGACATACAGACAGTCAGTCAGCCAGCCAGCCATCTGGCCAGTCAAACTGACAGACAGTTATTCGGTCACAGCCAGTCAACCACTAACTCGTGCAGAACCTCCGTGCACCGTAGGTGCATGTGTCAATCAAACGCGCGTTGCTTTTGACGCATACACTTGATATGTTTTTACTAAATACTTTTGCACACTATCTTCGTCACTGATCCATGACGCATTCTTTAATATGTCTTGCAACCGCTGTATATCGTCAACGACGTTTCGAACTGACTGGGAGCAGCTCTGGCAAGTCAGCTCAATCTCCTTGATGCAATCGGCCGCTTCAATTATGTCCCTGTAGCGCTTCCAGACAACTTGCCGCAAGTCCTTGCGCTTCTCCTCGATATCGATTCTGTAAGAAATTAGAAAATAACGTGTACATGTACGAAGCTACTGCTCGATCTGCAGCGTTTTACTTGACTTTATTTTCTATATCATGGATTTCGCCAACACTGAACTTCCTAAAAGCGACGTCCGCATCGGCCGAAGTCATCAGAGCACTCGCTCAGGTTCAGTCGTCGACCTCTACCTATACAAATTAGTTATAATTTGAGTTAAACAAAACAATGTGAACAGTTATATTAGATAAAAAAGCTAAACATGGTAAATTCTGAATGCTTGAGTTAACTGTGAAAACAAATATTTTAGGTAAAAGATTTAAGTGCATAACAGGTATAAAATGCGTTTAAAAAAAATCGACTTCTAATGGGTCACTATGTTCAAAAGAGGACGTTAGGCGCAATCTGTTCGAGGAAACCGTACAATTTCAACGAGAGATCTTCATGTTAAAAATACAGTAAACCTTCAACGGGACAAAATGCTTACTATCAGTCAGTCAATCTCGAAGATCGGTTATCCTTGAGGGTCGCGAAGT